ATGTATTAATTATATTATCTTATATATTATTAATTATGTTAGTAAAAAAATTTTCATTAGCAATTTTATTTCTTCAAATCAAAATATATCATAAAATCTATCTCTTATATAATTATCATATTAACTTATGCCGTTTTTGGTAATTTTCACATGTAAAAAGTGCTTCTGGTAATAACTATCCAAACACTCTCACTTTTCAGAATCACTTTTCTCAGAATCTATTCTCCACATGATCTATTTTCCAGAATAACTTTTTCAAACGACGGTTTGGTTTCATCCAAACACACCCTTAAGCAGTCATTAGTACGGGAAACATAGAAAGTCACCCAGCACAGTCGATCCAGCCCGGCGAACTCCAGAAACCAACAACGTGCAACTACTGAGCATCGTAAAACATCCAAGTTGTACTTTCTTACAAGTCATTAATGCATTTTCTTTTTTTAACATTTGCTTGGAGTATTATTATAAGTATCTGCACTAATTAAACTCTCCACCATGATCTTGATGAGTAAATTAGTTTTCTAATTATAGGAACAGAAGATAAAGTTGGTCTTTCTTCATTGCATAGGGCTCAGAATGAAGCATGAAATTGTTCAGCGATGGGGAGAAAATGAAATGAAAAAAAGAGGAAGTAAAGAGATAACGGTGAAGCAGAAACTACAAACTTAGAGCGAGAAGCTAGTACAATGGATAGAAATAGCATGAAAACGAATGCATTTTTCAGTTAAAAGCTGAAACTTCGACAGGCCGCTATATTTTCAACTTGGTGTCGAGATCAAAAGGGCCAACGCCTATGAATGAAAGTATGAACAAGAAGAGTTTATTTAAAATGACCACAGCATACCAATGGGATTGGATCTAGCAAAAAAGTTTAATCCCTAACAACGTGACGAATCAAAATTTTAATCCTTGTTAGAAGAGATACTCATATTTAATGCCTTATAATATCTCAAATAAAATTACTTCCAATAGGAGAATATCTATATTTTAGCCAAAAAAAAAAAAAAGAAGAAGAAGAAAAGATCACAGCATAATCAGCAAAAGTTGAGTTTAGGGGCTAGTAGCCTAGAACCTCACAATCTTAGCAAACTAAGACTCAAATTTCTGTTAAGAAAGATACTCACATTTAGTATCTGATGATATTTTAAATAAAATTCTCTTCAATAAAATGATACATGTATCTAGCAAAAGAAAAAATGACTACAACATTTTTTTTTTTTAATGCTACCGCGCAAGTCTTAATTTGTTTCGTGTATGTTTCGTAACCTATGGCCTGTGCGGCGTCTGCGAGTGACCCTCCAGCCCGGGATTAATAAAGATGAGGTGGACAATTATAGTTTATAGTTATTAATGTGTTACTAGTATTACCTATTGTATACCAAGACTTGTTGGATTTGTAATATAGGTCTTTTTTAACTATTACGTGTAGTTTCTAGCTAGTTTTGAGTTAGTTATTTGCTTACGAGGTTTCTTCTTGTCATTGTCGTTCAAGCAAAAAAATATTACACGTAGATTGAAAATAATAGTTGAAAATTGTCACTTTAAATGGTTCCAGCCATTCAGATTAATTTGGGTCCAATAAAACTTCTTAATTAGAAGACAAGCTTAGAAATTAGAATACGTAATCATCTTGCCAGAAAAATTGGTTCAGTGAGGTGGACTCTTTACGTTAAAAGATAGGGTTAAGCTGCGTCCAGTCACCCAAAATATTTAATTGGGTGCATCCAATACTTTAAAGTATTTTGTGTTGTATCCAATATCCTAAAATATTTTTTATGTGCATTTAGCACCTTAAAAATATTTTGTGGTGTAATTTTACCCTTAAAATATTACTACCTCCGGTCCTAATTATAAGAGCCAGTTGACTCATTTGAGGAGATTAAGGAAGTAAGTTGAGTTAATTATTTGTCCTAAATAAGTGTTGTTTTTCCTAAAATATCATTATTAATCAAGTGTATTGACTAGAACTTTTATTATTAGAAGGGCTATTTTGGAAAAAAAATATAAATATGAAAGATAAAGTGAATTTTAGTCTTATATTTAGGACCAAAATAAAAATCAAACAGGATCTTATATTAAGAACTGGAGGTAGTAATTTTTTAGAAAACATTTGTGCTTATAAAGTATTATTTCATGAACAGTTTTAATTTTATCATTAACTTCTCAAAAGGTTCGTTAAGTCAATGTATATCAAGTACCATAAAGTATTTTTTTAAGATACTAGATGCACTTGAAAAATATTTTAGAATATTAGATGCACCGCAAAATATTTCAGGATATTAGATGTCCCTTAAAAATCACTTTAAAATATTGGTACACCAAAAAATATTTTAAAATGATAAATATATCTGGCAAAGTATTTTGGAATGTTGGTACACCTTAGCACTAAAATATATTGGAGTTCATTGGGACACACACTGTTATTAAAAAAATATTGCATGCGAAACCTTCAGTTTCGAAACTAATTCAATTCTCAGCCGCCTACTTGGGGGGTTTCTGAATTACTCCCTCCGTTCCTTATTATAAGAGACAAATAATCGAAGTACGTTGATCAAAAAAATAGTTAAAATTAGTTAAGAACAATTAATGTGGAAAAAGTATAATTTTTTTCCAAAAATGCCCTCATTAATAAGGAGAGAGAGCATGAGAGAAAACAATTAAATTATTAAAAGAAAGAGAAGTGGGAATGAGAGAGAGTGTGAGTTGGAGATAATAAATATGGGTAAAATAGGAAATCAACACAAAAAAGTAGAGACAACTTTTAAGTGTCTCTTATATATAAGAACATGCCATAAGCATCAAATGTCTCTTATAATAAGGAACGGAGGGAGTATTATTCTAATATTACTATATCATAGGATATTATCTTTAAATACATGTTGTTAACGCACGGCATAAACGCGCACTCGCAAACATTTTTCTTCTTTTTTAAATAAACAACTCGCAGATGACAATTTATTTTATTCATCGCTCTTCCACCATTACAAAAGAGGTACTTATTCTGTGTTTCTCATGTTCATTATCAGCATCTGCCCCACCCATTAACTCTTGAAACTTTTATAATAAAAATATTTCCCATTTTTCATTTCTAAGTAAAACCCAATATGAGCTAGACACGTTTTTAATAAAATAATAATAATTTGTCAGTGCTTATAATTTTATCCAATTTTGAATTAGGTTCCTATGATCTTTTTTCTTTTTTTTTTAATAAAAAATTGTAACATTGTCTCACTCAATAAAATTAAATATAAAAAAGTCTCTTGAAATCATCAAATTAATCTGAAGTCTTAAAGGACTCATTGTAATAAATTCTATTTGTTTAATTACCAAACTGTCCTTATCTTTTTTTTTTTTAAAGTATGTATTGATAACTAAAAACACAGTCGTTAACAATTTAAAATGTAACGATTAACAACTATTGTGGTAGATATTAACAACATATTTTCTTAACGTATCACAAAAATATAATGCATGAGTTGTCAATATTGTCGTGATAATTGTTAATTCTCATAACTTAAATTATTAACAACTGCACTTTCAATTGTCAATACATACTTTAAAAAAAATAAAAACAATTTATTAATTAAATAAATAAAATTTATTACAATGAGGTTTCTTGAAACTTCACATTAATTTGATTTGATGATTTTCATATTTAATCCTCAACTTTATTGTAATTTTTTTATTGAGTCCTTAGTGAGTTTTGACTGGCACAAAAATACTGACAGCAGATCAAAGGCAATAGGCGCGCAGTAATATATGGAAGTTGGTGAGGATACAAATAATTCTGTTTTTTTTTTTTTTGGAGCCATTTCTAAGTTTAAATCTTTCAATTAATAAAAGAAAAAAACATTTGATGGTGAAGATATCTTCAACCTCTTCCTTCCTCTCACTATCTCCTACTAGCTCCTTATCTCCCTACTGCATTCACACTTACGAAACGGTGTTTCATCTTTGGCCATACTTCGTCTTCTGGAGAGATAAGTCGCATTATCCACACTCCGTTTCACGGTGGTGAAGATAGCAGAGAGAGAATGGAAGGGGAATGAGGAAGAAGGAGAGTGGGGGTGTGGTTGGGAAAGGAAGGAAGACGATGATGATGGGAAGAGAGAGAGAGAGGTGGTAGTGTTGGTGGGGAAACTGGGCGGAGGAAGGAGAGATGTCTAATCTAACGGCGACTCCTATCAAAGCTCAATATACAGGACTCAATAAGAATAAAAAGAAAAAAAATTATAGGGATTTAATTTAAAATTGGGTAAAACTACTCATAAATTAATTTTTTCTTAAAAAATATATATGTCTTCCGGTCCTAAATATAATATTCTTATACACATTAGTATAAAAGTTTTATATTTAAAACCAAAAGAGTATAATGCAAAAACCTCGGAAGTCGGAACAACTACTACTTGTCTGGGCTTTTGATTCCAATGGAATGTTGATCCTAAATTACTAATATGGATAATAGTAGTTGCAGACTGGCCGTAGTTGATTTGATTTTAGTGAAATTATAAAATATTCACGCTTAAAGTGTGTAAGTTTTGATATGAAGGTGAAAAATAATAAATTACTGTAAAAAATCTCGAGATAATTGACTAATTTAGAAATGTTATTTTTTGACTAGCAACTAATTTAGAAATATTAAGTAAATTAAATAAATTATTTCAAAATATTTATATTTATGTTTTAAGCTAATTTGTCTTACTTATATATATCATTTAATTAATTATATATAAGTATTTTAAAAATATATATAACGTATATTATAATTAATTAATGAATTTAGTTTTTTTTACTTTTCTCACGTTAATGAACTTGGTCATCCGTTAACATGAGGAGGAGGCAGCACAAATTTATGTGAAACAGTGAAAGTGGCAGGCGACTTGTCGGAGGAGCTGCGTTTCTATCCCAACTACAACGTACCTCTATCTTTCTCCGGTGAATGCGTCAGCACAGCATACAAAAATCTAAAGCAGGCAAGAAGAAGAATACGAAATTGTAACTTTCACAGCAACAAAAAAAGAGAAAGAGAATCAGATCGAATTCCAACAATAGAGTTAAAAGAATCTAACACCACTAGAACCACCATGGGAAGGAAGGAAGGAAGGAAAGATAAAAATTTTTACAGTCTCACAAATATCTCCCTCCGTTCCTCAATCTCATATTGCATTGACGACAGAATCTCTCTCCCTTTCCCCCCCCCCCTCACTTTTGGCCTAAAAGAGAGAGTTCAGGCTAAGAATCAGATAAATTCAGAAAGCAACAGTTCTCTTTCTCACCGCATAGCTTCTACTTCTAGGGTACAAATCTGCAACACCATTATTACCACCGTCTGCAAAATCATAAGGCTTATCTTCGTCAATTTTCGTCATCCCTACACTGGTGGACTTGGGCAATCCTCTTGATCCCAGGGATTGTTGTTGCTGTGCCGTTGCTTGCTGCTTCATAACCAAATCCATGTCGATTCTATCGACCAAAGTCCTCGCTGACGCTGCTCTCACGAGCTCTGCGAAATCCTCGCTGTCTTCAGACCTCGAAGTGTTGGCACTGTAACTTCTGGGAAAGGCCGCGAATCTCCCAGCTGCATCCACAGGGTTACTGTAGTTCATATTATAACCACACTTTGTTATGTTTCGCACGTAAAAATCTCGCGCTCTTCCCAGCGCTCTGATCGGTGAAGTAATGAACCTCACGAACGCGTTCTGGCTCTGTCCCTTGCTCCTCATCTTTACGCCTACAAGATGTTCGACAAAATTGCCGACGAATAGCTCTGAGTAAATTGCTCGGGAAGAAGGAGGAGAAGGAAACACTGGATTGGGCTAGATTGTTGAAGAAAGTGATATGAGTAGAGAAGAATGGGAATTGGAGGAGAAGTTTTGAGAGAGGAGGGTGGTTTTGTAGGGACCAGAAGGGAACGATAATTCTCGATTGAGATGGAGACGAAGGTGGGTGTGAAACCGGGAGCAATCAACATGATGGACTTTTTCATAGCCCACCGGATTAGGAAACGAAGATAAGTATGAAACTGTGCCAACGTGTTGGCCTAAATTCATTTTTTTAAGTGATGATTGCTGTCCAAATTTGAATATTCTGGGGAGTGAAAAAAAAGCTGGATTTGATGGACTCGTCTAATTTCAACGTTGTTTTTGACTTTCCGTTAAAAGTTGCTTCTTTTCTAATTTCCTTAGCTCTGCCGTCCCAGGGTAGTTCGATTTTAAGGACAACTCTGATGACGCTTGCGTGAAATTTACCTTCCTCAATGATTTAGGTCTTGGGAATTGGGATTGACAAACACTTCATAACGTAGAAAGTGATTAATATAGATGGAGGATAATTATTAAGATTTACTTTTGCTAATTACTCCCTCTGTTTCTTATTATAAAAGATATTTGATACTTATGGCATGTTCCTATATATAAGAGACACTTAAAAGTTGTCTCTACTTTTTTGTATTGATTTCCTATTTTATCTATATTTATTATTTCCAACTCACACTCTCTCCTCCTCCCATTTCTCTTTCTTTTAATAATTTAGTTGTTCTCTCTCATGCTCTCTCTCCTTATTAATGAGGGCATTTTTGAAAAAAAAAATTATACTTTTTACACATTAATTGTTCTTAACTAATTTTAACTGTTTTTTTTTATCAACGTACTTCAGTTATTTGTCTCTTATAATAAGGAACGGAGGGAGTATTTTACAAGGGGACAAAAGTTACCATTATGCGGATGCACATTTAATCACTTTAATTGTGAGTAGCGTATGGGGTCTAATTTATTGAACTGAAAATTGCTTAAACATATAATTTGAATTTTTTAATTATTTATTTTGATGGTCGGATCGTTTCAAATAGATGAAAAATAACGTGAATGTTTATTGTTTTGAAATTTTGAAATGCTGTTTGAAACACCAATTCTTGCAACCAAAAAAGTAAAAGATAAAACACTAACTTTCCAAGTGAAAGATAAAACGTTGCCATCGTGACTCAAATGACAACATCATGAGAGGACAAAGGTAGAATTAGAGTTACATTTCAATTTGAGATGTCCGTCATGAATCAGCAGGCGCCCCTGTAATGATAGATTACCGTCTTTCGCTTTTTTTTCTATTGGGATTTTTTCATGATTTATGATTTTTTTCCGCCTAAAATACTATTATCCATCTTTTCTAAGTGTCTTTCTACTTTCTTAACCAACTAAACAATCTCATTTAGTTAATACCAAGCTTTATTGAAGGTAAATTTAAAATGTCAATAGCACTAATTACTTCGTTTTAACTGAAATGTAAAATTGTTAATAAGCTTTTACTAAAGGCGGTTTCGAATAAATATATACACGATGCTTATGAAATATTTTTAAACAAAAAATAAAATACATTTATGTCCAATGATCACTTATTATTTTTACTTAATAGACGTCGATTTCTACAATATTCTTTATGCAAAAGAAATTAAACTATAATTAACTTCTGTTCAGATGTTTGGTAGCAGGGATGAGAGGCCTCCGTCGTTTTTTTTTTTTGGTGGCTTTCCCACGTTATGGAGGAACTTTCTTTAATAAGACGAGAAAAACATTTTTAATTCTGTGCCCTTGGTATCAATGCCCACACGCTTCAACTACAGACAAACCAACCATCATACTCCACACTAATACAAATATTATTATATTTTGGTTTGGTCTGGTTTATTAATTAATGATCGATTATAACTACAGACTTCTACTCTGACCACTTCAAATAAATTCAATTCAGACAGCCCCTTTACCAGAATCATGTTCTCGTTGTTCGTTCCATATATTATATTACATATATAATAAGTTGTTTTATAATACGTTTACTTTTTTTTTTAAAAAACAATGCCTGTTTGAAAAGGGTCTAAGAATTTTACTAAGAATGAAGAAAAATGAAGAGAGAATTGTAATAAAATCCCAAAAAAAACACAATTATTATAGAGTCCTAGTGACAAGTGAACAGCTTAGAATGACAACTCCTCACTTATTTATTATAGAAACTTTTTCATAATTATTTTATTTTTATGGGATTTTATTGCAGTTGTCCCAAAAATGAATGGAGACTGAGTCAGTTAATTGCATGAAAAGGAGCTCACATCCTCTGCTGTGCAGCTCAAGCTGCCCATATTCAGTTGTGCACCGATTCGTCCGTCTGCCATTTGTTCTTGTTTTGTTTTGTTTACTTTGAATCCTCAGTTCAGTTGATTTTATTCCATAAAGTTAATTAAGAGTTGTATTTATAAACATAAGAATACAGTACGTCATGTTTCTTAAATTTGTCATTTTTTTTGAAACTAACTTATCTAATTTATAAATTAATATATAGTATAGTGTTATGTAAGTTTATTTTAGAGAAATAAAGTCTTTTTTTAACAAATAATAAATTCATTTTTTATTACAATAAATTAATGAGCAATTTGCATTACAAAGTACTCGTATTGTTTTATATAGTGGATATTACATTTGAAATGGGAATTAGCATTAAAAATACATGAACTAGTAGCATTAAAGCTCCTATCAGTGGGCAGAAGCGTCTGGAGAGAATATAAACTTATTTTGATTTTGGCCGAAGAAAAACACACTTCATTAAATGAGCATCGGAAGAGAAAATCCGTTTCGCTAAAAGCTTTCAATTTGATAGATTGTGCTGCGCAGCACGTAGAGCCGTTTTGGTCAATTCACTGAATAGTAAGCAATCGTTTTCTTCATCAATAGTCCTTCCTGCTCCTGCATGCTCACTTAATGGGGGCATTTACAGTCTAAGATCTCCTAATAATCATATTAAATGGTTTTTTTTTTTTTTGCTACACGATCTCAAATCATTTTGACTGACATCAAAATAAATTGTTTCAACTATAAGGTTCTGAATTATATTTCTCCCATAATTTAAATCTTTTTATAATCCTTTTATGCAGCCAGCTTCAACTTGAAATTCCAGCCACCCAAAATAGATAACTAGACAGGGCCATCGCAGTATCGCACCGTAAGGTCTCGCCGGGTGAACAGCCCTGCAAAATTTATGAAATCTGTTTTATCAGCAAGCGACACTATTCGTGAACAATAAAAATATAGGAATGATGATCATCAAACATCACAAATTATTCATAGCGAAGGATATAGGGAGCTTAGAGTTATTTCTTGCCGCAAGAATTAGAATTCTTTTGCAAAATTTTTCCCAAATTAAATTAATGAACTCTCCCGGAATCATGCCCACCGGCCACCGGCCACACAGGATGGATGTCGAACAAGTCCAATAAGGTAAGCCCATTGTCCATTTTTAAGTTTCAGTCCAATGAAGTCTATTTTTTTATACTTTTCTTCCATTTTTAAAACCCGTATTAAATTATTTCCGCCGGAGAGGCAGTCAACGTGGCAGCCTATCTGCCCAGTTATTTGGAAATGCTGGCACAGGCAGCGATTAATTTCATACTACGCAGACACAGATAGAAATATCAGACCATTCTGCACCACTCATTAACTGACAAAGCCCCCGCATCAGCATGAGAGTTTTCAGTTTTGATCCTCCAGTTCGGAAACCACCAGAAGAAGACGGAAGCAATACAGGAAATCTGTCATGAAGGGATTGCCTTTGAAGATAATAGCTTCAACCTCATTGTTTGTGATGCTGCAAATTATATGCGGGGCGGGCAATACCCTTCATCCTATAATATTAGTCCCCGGTGCCGGAGGTAACCAGCTAGAAGCCAGGCTCACCGGCGCCTACAAACCCACGAGCCTCCTCTGTGACCGCTGGTACCCACTTGTCAAGGACCGCGATGGCTGGTTCAGAATGTGGTTCGACCCCAGCGTTCTACTTCCGCCCTTCACTCGCTGCTTTGCTCATCGCATGACGCTTCACTTCGAACCACATCTTGATGATTACTTTAATGCCCCTGGGGTTCAGACTCGGGTCCCTCAATTTGGTTCAACCAGCTCACTTCTTTATCTCGACCCTCATCTCAAGTGAGTCAATGTTTTGTGCTTGATTATCGTCATTAACTTGTGAGGCGTATTGTGACTGTAATTGATGTGCAGGCATGTTTCAGCATATATGGCACCGTTGGTGGATTCGCTTGAAGAGTTTGGATATGTGGAGGGTGAAACTCTGTTTGGAGCACCCTATGATTTCCGATATGGTCTTGCTGCCAAAGGTCACTTGTCTCATGTGGGTTCCAAGTTCTTGGACGATCTCAAGTGTTTGATTGAAAAAGCAAGTGCTTCCAATGGCGGAAAACAAGTGATACTCGTGTCACACAGCTTAGGAGGACTCTTTGCCATTCAACTTCTGAACCGAAACCCACTTTCTTGGCGCCAAAAGTTCATCAAACACTTTGTGGCTCTTTCTGCTCCTTGGGGTGGTGCTGTGGACGAAATGCTTACCTTTGCTTCGGGGAATACTCTAGGAATACCCCTGGTGGACCCATTGATGGTAAGAGCAGAACAGAGAAGCTCTGAGAGTAATCTGTGGCTTTTGCCTAATCCCAGATTGTTTGGTGGCACCAAACCATTAGTGATCACGAAAGATAGGAATTATACAGCATTAGATATTGCTGATTTTCTCAGAGACATCGGTTTCCCCGAAGGGGTTTACCCCTATGAAAATCGAATTTTGCCATTGATAGAGAACACAGAAGCACCAGAAGTACCTGTGACTTGTATCATGGGAACGGGTGTGAGAACCCCAGAAAGTTTGTTTTACAGGAATAGTGATTTTGATGAACAGCCTGAAGTGTTTTATGGGGATGGAGACGGTACAGTGAACATGGTGAGCATGCTGGGGCTTCAGTCACTCTGGGAAGATGAGAAAAATCAAAGCCTGGAAGTGATTAAAATTGGAGGCGTGTCTCACACGGGGATACTGAAAGATGAAGTTGCTCTTGATGTGGTAATAGGCGTGATTAGTAAGCTTAATTCTAATGGAACGACTTTTGTGGCGCATGAGCAAACTCTTGTGGATGCTTATAGGCGATGAAACGGAGTAGTCAATTAGCTCTATATACTATAACAGAGCAGAAAGCTTCTTTTGAATAAACATCTTTTTTGTTTTTTTTCCTCTTTTTCTTGCCGTAAATCGTATGTTCTGGGAACCTTGCACGTCTTTGTTGTTGTCCTTATTCGATTATTTTAATTTTCTGCTACAATAGAGGCTAGCTTTTTGATGGGTTGAATCTGACTGGCGTGGCATGGCATTTTGTCTTATCAAAGGAATATGATTTGGAGGATTTTGAACTAGTCATCTTAAATAAACCGACAAAACTGAGGTCTGAGGAGAGCCCGTGTTCATATTTCAAATTTCAGATCAGTCACTGCAGCTCATTTCTTACATGAGCAATGCCCCGGCTCTAATGCATTCTGATAAGAATCCTAATCCTAGTGGGCACCACTTGCGGGAAGAAAAGGAAAACAGCTGGATCAAATCCTTAGGCTGAAACTTGAATTAGTTTGAATATGTTTTGAATTGTTTATTTTAATTATTTTAGAGTGAGTTAGCTAAATAAGTGGAACCATATGACTGTTAGGGGTCACCAACTTTTCACTCTGTTTCTAAGAGATATTTTAGGGATTAATTCTGTTTCTAGGAGATATTATAGGATTTTCAGAATTTCAGAATTTGTTACCGTTGTAATTCCTCTTTATGAATAACCCAGCCACTCTCTATGCTAAGCAGAGATTGAGAAATAGAAGAATTATTTTAATTCAACTGGAGATTCTCCTTTGTTGGCTATTGAGATTAGGAGAGTGTGATTCTTGCTTCGCTTCTGTTCTCCATTTTTTCTTCAGTCATTTATATCTCCAGATTTAGGATCTTAACCCATTCTTAGGCGTCACAGCGCATTTCTAACACTGTAACAACCGATTTAAAACCCTCGGAAAAAACGTCTCATACCATGTAGCTCTTTGATTCCAATGAGATTTAGCAGCATTCATGTGATTTCTACTCATATACAATTGCAACATTTGCATTATGAATTCCATATTTGATTGCTAAATTTCCTTAGTACTACCTCCCATCCTTAATACTCCCTCCGGTCTGAAATATAATGCCCATTTTGTAAGTAAATTAGGACTGAAGGAGTATAAGATTTAGTTTCAACTATAAATTAGATCTTATATTAAAGATCAAAGGTAGTATCAAAAATTCTTTTTGTTAACATTAGATGTTGATCGGAGGACTTGATGAAACTTCTACAGATGTTGATCGGAGGCGTTCATTTTACTTGAATTTAATTGCTCATACCTCCTTTAGTGTAACTATTGCCTGGTTTGATGATTATTTCAAACCCATAAAATTTAGTGCTTTTAGAATCTAGGGACAAAAAAAAAAGGCCTTTATCCTTTCCAAGTATTTTAAATGCAGTTTATATGGTGTCAAAACGTTGGCTATAATGTTTAGCCATCTTCTTTACTCTACTGAAAATCTGAACTGACTTGACTAGTGTTTGGTGCTCTTAATGTTTAACCTGATGCATGTATGCAGCGATCATTTGTTGAATTCATTGTACAAAAATTTGGGCCAATCTCTATAACATGCTCAGGAAAGACGGAAGAAAACTAAGCAAGCAGCTCTATAATTGTAAGTTTACAGACAAGCCGTTATATAGCTCTGTACTATAAAACGATTGTATTGCCATACAACAGTTGATGAACTCAAGTCAACCAATTTTACCTTGCCTTGTAATATTTCCTCTTCCCTTCAACTCAGTTTTAATATCACAGTTTCTTTCATTTTTTGTCCCCCCCCCCCCCTCCAATCACACAGCTCAGGGAACAACTGATTATGTGGCTCGCCTTTGTCTTAGGTTGAGAATGAATCCATTCTTTCCGTTGGCTGTTTCTGGTTTTATGCAAATAGACAGAACTTCCATTCCAATAACCTTATGAAGAACTAATTGCATGGTTATCTTCCACAATGCATTCATGAGCAGGACTCTTACCGAGCCATCATGCTTGAAATGCTTTTAAATCATTGTCAATATATGTTAGTTATCACCGTTATTCCTGTTTAGTGCATCTTTTGCTCTCCCGTGACTTCTATGGAAATGAGATGGATGTTATGGTATCTTAAGTAATCCTGTAGCTGAAAACTCATGTTATATTGTTGGTACGCTTACTGACAAACCAGACCTTGCATAATTAGTGCAGTGCCGCTGGTTGAAATCGCTGTTTTTTTGGTTCTGGTATCTCAGAGTGCTTTATATAAGCTACTATTCAGTTTTGTTAAGAATCGGCTTGGTTCAGTTCACATGGAGGAATTTTATAAATATGAACAAGGTGATTAATTTATTACTATAGTATCTGTGAACTCTGGCGTCATGATTACGGTTCGTTTCCACAAGTTAGGCAGAACCGACTAGTCAATGATAGTCATATATGAAATCCACATTCCACTTTGTGAATCATGATTATCCTTCTTGAGTAATAGCGTTCATCAGATTCATCATAGCTTAGGGCGACTTTGATTATTGTTCCTGTCTGGTCCACGCTTTAGAAGCCCTTCAATTACAGCCTTCGACATGATGACCAAAAAGGCAAAGCCGTGTTTGACGATGCTCTGCCTTTGCTTTGAGCCACAGAGTTAGGCGTTGGACAAATTTGCGCTACAGTGTGAGGACGATGTTTACATGTGAGCTTGAATTTTACGCATGATGTGATGTTACATGTTGGGAGTCAATAGTGAAAATATTGCCATTATATTATTAAATTACGGGAGTTAATGGCCCCTCTCTCTGTGACTAGTTTGACTCTAGCTCTAAAGCCATGGTATTTAGTGCCATTTCTCTATCCTTAGGTCTCCTCTCGACAAGTAGAGTCTTCTCGCTAAGTTAATGACATTTTTAATTTCGTAATCCTCTGTGGATTTGATTCTCCCCTTTTTTTTTCAAAAAGTGAAGATTCAGATTTGCAATGTCCAGTGTCTTTTTGTGTTACAGGGGAGGAAAAAAATTATGAGCACTATCATTTGAGGGTGACAATGGCTGCTGACATTGAATTTAAAGGCGCAAGGATCGAGAAATAAAAAGCAGATTAGCCTAGTCCACAAGCAGGAGTTACTATTAAGATTAGTATCATCCAGTTGGCAAACTTGTAGGTGGAGAAACACAGAGGGATGTCGGAAAATATTTGGATGAAATTATATTATCTGTTTGATGAAATCACATTGGCCATGTGATTACCAAGTAGGATTGACGCAGTGGAGCTTATACTCTAACAGGCTCCAGGACTATTTGACATAATTCTTAATAGTTAGTAGGTAGATAACGTAATCTATCCGTCATGTCTTAGTTTGGACCTGGTCTGGTGTATTGTGTATTATAAAGGAAAGAGAGAAGGACGATGAGTTGTATTGTGTTTGCACATTTTTTGTCTTTTAATAACACAGTATATACCCAAAATCATTGGGTCCACTGATCTACCCCACGTACAAGAACTCGAGAATATTGCAAATATGACCTCGTGCCCATCCCTACCCTACCCTCACACTTTACTCTTTCCTCCATTATTATTGCAGCTGCTGTTTGTTGTTGATGATAAATTCCCATTTTTTTTAGTTGTCCGTGGAAATCGTTGAAGCTGTGCTTTATTGTTTCAATAGACCATTGGATGACCCTTCGTTTTAATTAACCATCGGAAGAAAACCATAATTTCACCAAAACTATGATTAATCTGATCAGAGCGTACAGGAAACCAGAGGTTGATGGAGTACGTACAAGTTTAACAGTATTATGACAGCTCAAACAACCAGACGCTTATTCAGCTCACATAAACGAAGAACATATAGACACACACACACACACACACTAACAATAAGAGAGGCTCTATATATACTTATGTTTGATTTATTGTTGTATCTTTGTAATAGACTGGAGGATTCATAAGACAAGATAGAACTGACGACAAGTGATGACGTTTAATTTTTGGGCTTGTGCTTCTGGGTGTAGATATAATCGACATGCGCCGCTAGCGTCCTTCTCATCAAACATTCTTCTTTACCTTCCACTGTTTCGTCGCAGTTTTCACCTTCCAGCTCTGTCTTCATTTCCATAGCATCCTTCAGTTCAAATCCCGCAAACCCAGTAAGTACAGAGAAAGCAAAAACATCAAACATCAAAAACTCTCTGATTATATGTGTGTGTTAACAACTCTGGTGAAGAGAGAACTAATTCAAAACGAAAAAGAGAAATCATTTCGTGGGTTGATTTGCGGGGGGAATATCAGAAGGGAAGTTACCTCATGCAGAGAAGAGTGGCCGGGGAATCCAACGTTGGGACGAGAGGCGTGGATGAGGCCTAAGCTAAGCAGAAAAAAGATGGTGAAGATGGTGAAGAGTTTAGACATTGTAGTGTTTGTCTGATCGGCTTTTCCAAGGACCCTGAATTGTGAGAGCGAAGCGGGCAAGACTGCTTTACATATATAGGCAAGGCAAAACTTGGTGGACTCAGTGATCAAGCGTACACTTCTCCCCCGTTGATCGCTCTAATTAAATTAACCTTATTTTACGTTCACTTAATCACAATCTATTGAAATAATTGACTTACTAATTGCTTGGCATGTCTTATTGGTATGAAATCTCTGGGATAAAAAGAAAAGAAGATTTTTTCCCTCTTTTTTCTTTTCTTTTTTTAGCCTTGCGATGATTTTAAGATTTTAAAGCATATATACGTTGTATGGCATTCATACTTTATACATTTCTTTATTTTGCTTGGACAGCTTCAATGTATGAAGCTATATATTAGTAAACTCAATGATGAAAAATCATTTCGTGCCTGTGCGTGTGTCCACTCATACTCTAATTTTGCCCCCCAAAAAAATCCCCTCTTGTGATAGAACTCTGTAATAATTTTTCAATATTTTTGGTAGCCACAAGCTTATGCTAGTTTGAAACTCATAATATGCCCCTTTTTTTTTTCATCAAAAAGCCCCTGATTGAGCCTGTTTTTAGTATATCACTGCATGTATGATAAAAATATTCAATTCTTTTATAAGGGCATTCCGTTGGGAAAAATGTCAAAAAAATACCTCCAAAATTTTAAAATCCCAAATCAGAAATAGCTACAAAAATTTGTTGTCATCCGCTTTTCAAATATTCTTAATTGTTATTGAAGTGTAATGAACAAGATTGATTTAGAATTTTAAAATTCAAATTTTTTTCTGAAATTCTTCTCATTAAAAAACAATTACATCAAATAAAAAATATAAAAAAAGAGTTGTATTATTCCTAAGTCATGAATTCAATTTTTTCACCTTTAAGATATTGTTTGGTATAAGAAAAATATAAAAAAGAGAGGAGAGAAATAATTTTAATAAGCTCTATTTAAAAAAAATAAAAAAGTGAGATTTTAAATTTTTAATAAGAAGAAGAAATAGTATAAAAGAGTAATAAAAATTAATTAAAAACTTTTAAATTCTTTGATTTTTTTTAAATTAAACTCATTAAAAATTCTTCCTTTCCTTCTTCTCTTTCCCACCACACGGACCCTAATATTAAAAAATCAACTTTTTATCAATCAACTAAAACAAATATTGAATTGGCCGGTGATGTTACCCGCTTAGGCTCGGCTATTTCCAATTTGTGAACCCGTCGGATAGATGTATTTTTGTCGCCATGCAGATTCTGTGGGCATTGCTTTTTCATTTTGGTAAGTTTCACGCTATTGAATTATTCTTTCCCATTTAAAAATTTCTGAAAATATTTTTCCTTTTATGAATTACAAAATTTTAGGAATTAATCTTCATTTGGTATTTTTTACCCTTAAAAAACACCCTAGAGCGATATCGAATTAATGCATCGGATCGTGACTCAAAAGTTAGCTAGTTTGCTTAATTATTTTATTCATGATTTCGTGGTTTTAGAAGTCGGAACATTTTTTAAAAGCATGTCCAGACGACTAAAATTCTCCCATATATTTATGTCCATAGTAATTTTTAAAAAAATATTATCTATAGCTCATTTAATTGGAAAGTTGTTATTGAAGATAACGAAGGATAATATCCTCCATCCTCCATTTATTATTCTATGACCATACAAAAATTCACTAACGATAATTAGAAGATGATCTAGTAACTTTAAACCATATTCATAAATTAAAGAACTTAAAATTGAATATCTAAAAATAATAACGAATATTTTTATTTTTTAATATCTTTTAGCAACGTTATTATCTGTTATTTAACAAAAGAAAAATCACAAATAAAAAAGTTAAAAAATGTGAAATTTTAAATCGGGCACCTAATATTTTGAAATCTCAAAAGAAGAAGTTATGCTTGATATAGTATTTTACAAATATAGTTAAATGACTAAAATATTTTTATATCAAAAAATTTATTAGCAAGTTATAAATTGGTAATAACAGGTGTTGAACAGCAAATGATAAAAAATAATTAGTAATGATAAGTTATTTATTAACAGGTAGTAAATTGATAATGATAAGTGTTGAATGGTCAATAACAATAAATACACTGATAATAACAAGCTTGGTAGCCTTTTTTTAAAAAAAAATTTGATACAAAGACATTTTAATCATTTGATTACATTTACAAAATACTAGATTTAGCACCACCTCCTTCTCTATCATTTTTCATTCTTAGATGTCTGAATTGAAAAATGACAATTTTAAGATTGTTTATTTTTTTGGGAAATTTCCCCTCGACAAAAGCACAAATATCCATTTATTTTTATTTTTAATTCTCACCGTTGTTTTTTTTTTTTTTTTTTATTATTACATGAGGCTTTGGTGGAGGGATTTGTACGGGTCTACGGGTCGCGCAGGCGCATTAGCGGCAGGAGTCAAAAGGAATTGCAGAGGATGGGAAAGGTGTGTCCGCACTTATTACAAATCACTGTGGTAGATTCTTTTTCTTTTTGCGGGACTTGTATTCGTCAGCATCTTCAGCACGATTAGGGACAAATGACAAATTGTTGGTATTTCAAATCTGATTAATCCTCGCTGGCCAAAAAAATAAAAAAGCTGATCAATCCTCTCAGCCTGAGACTGGTGCCATTGCTTTACCTCCTCCTGCTCGTAAATCCTTTATCTTTTAATTTAGAATTTAATTCTCCAAGTCTTACGTCTATTAATGGGTCGTTGTGCTAGGGCCGGATATTGATACTTTGATAGTTGCGGGTTCACGTGAGGTGTTATCAATAGTCAAGTAGCCACTATTAACTTCCGTGCAACACTTTTAAGGCGGTGTTTGTTTGTCCGTGCTTTTTAAAAATATTTTTATACAAATCGAGATACTATCTCCGGTTTTTAATATAAGATATTGTTTAATTTTTATTTTAGTTTTAAATATAAGATCTTAATTCATTTTGTCTCTTATATTTATATATATATTTTTCTAAAGTGGTTATTCTAATAATTGTACTTCTAGCTAATACACTTGATTAGCAAGGATATTTTAAAAAAGACAACATATATTTAGAACAACTAACTAACTTACTTTTTAATCTCCTCAAATTAATTAACTAGTTTTTATAATTAGGATTGGAGGTAGTATTTTTTATTCAGGCACCTCCTAAATTTCCAAACACATTTTACTTTCTACCCATGCATGCAAAAACATCGCAGTAAGCGTGTAGGCTATGCCAAAAAAGAGTGTTGCCGCTGGTGAGGTTCTTTGTGCTCATTCGACTTTATTCTGGACCAGGCCCACTTTTCCTTCCACATGGGCCTGCTTGCGATTCTGAAAAATTATTGCTCCTCTTCAAGGGCCATTGTCGTTAATCGGGTAAGACTGGGCTTTCAATGTAGTCATGAATCGGATCGGCAGCGATTTTGTCATTTGCACCCGGAATAAAAAAAATGGAAGCTATCTTGAAGTTTTGAAAGGCCAGTGGGAGATTCCTCAAAATGAGAGTTATGGGGCCCTCCGTGCTGAGAGTTTAATCAATAGGAATTGGGTAGAGCAAAAAAAACTAGCCCTTTATAATATGAGAAACTAAGATTTAAATTTTTATTGAGAGAAGTATATATATTTAGTATCCGATATTGTCTTGAATATAATTACCTTTAATAAAAAGATACACAAACATAGTCAGAAAAAATAATACAAAGTTTAAATTGGGTCAAATCTGATGGGCGCACCCGGTGGGGTAGCCCATAATTTGTGGCACTTCCACGTTGTGGGTCTAAGAATCATTACTGCATTATACAGTATCACTCATTCAGTTCTAAATATAAAATCTGTTTTATAGTATAAAATTATATTACATAACACCTTTTTGTTCCCGCCAAATTCCATGGCAGGTTGTTCCTCGGTTCATACTTGGTGGAGGTCCAGAGTTTGAACCCTGCATCAGCGTATGGGAGTGTGGCTCTGATTTCGTCAAGTTAAATATGAGTCTGTATGTATGTACATAAGACCATTTTAAAATTTAAATCTTAGTTTAAGAAATTTATTTGCCCAAGAACTTGATGGTGCTCAAATTCAAATTAATTGATAAAATTATATGCAGAATTGTTTAATATATATCACTATTTCTCACCTACCCCATTCACAATATTCATGTAGAACGGACCCTCTTTGCTTATGGGACCCAAAAAAAAAGAAGGGAAAATCTATAAAAAAAAAAAACTGTTGAATTTTAAATTTTCAAATCAGGAATTACTATAAAAATATGTTGTTATTTAATTTTCAAGTATAATCATTTTTTATACGAGTGTAGTAACTAATAATGATTTAAAATTTTGAAATTCAATGAGATTTTTTTTTTGAAATTTTCCCAAAAAAACTAGGTCACAGAATAAGACTAAACTATTCTCACTGAAAAAATTAAAAAAGCGAGTGGAGAATGATTAACATTTAACAAAGAAAGCACTGGTACAATATATGCTCAGCACTAATTCTTGCTCTTAATCATAATTAATTTTCTGTGTAAATATATACTATATCAACCTATGACTATCATATTGAGATTTGGGAAGTCCACTTTACAAATGAATGGGATCACTGCACATCTACTACCAAAAAAAAAAACCGTCCAAGTGATGATACATGAAGTAATTATGTTGAAGGAAGAGTAAAGTAAGCACGAGAAGAGACGTATGAGCATAAATTAATAATATGGTTTTTCTGACACTCATGTCTGTTCCAGACAAGTAATGAAATGATTAGTGTTTCATGCGAGCGCGATATCATAACCCACTTGAAATATATCTCTTATCTCCAATGGTAGGGAAAACCTTCATTATACAGAAGGCGTGTTAATTAAACTAACATTAATCAAAAGAACTCAAGGATAAGCACCACTGATGTTGGAACCATGACTAGGCCCATCCCTTAATATTGTCGTAATCAATTAGCATGCTCCTCTTAATTATTTGATTAGCAAGACAGGCCATTTCTTTAATGTTTTCAGCTTTTAGGCCTGTGCAAATAGAAATAAAGGAATTTTAATCATGATTTCGAAGCTGTCCCTTGTAATTTCACACCTAATCTTATTATTAAAGGACTATTACTGTGCTGCTCAGTACGCTGTCTATTTTACCTATCCAGATTTAAACAGTAGTAATGATTTATATACGCTCTTGAAATGACTGTACGATTTTTGCTCTTCGTCTGCTTTGCGAAATGACATGTATACTGATATATAGTCTGTACAAAGTTACAAGGAAGATGTCTATATAATTTACTCGTTTTTTACGCTGTTACGAATATAAAAAAAAATACACGCTGAAAACTATTTGACAGGAAAATATCTTCAGGGACGAAAAAAAATATCGCGTTTATGATTTTGTTTATGTAATATTAATAATGAAAACTAGCTACAGTCGCAGAGTTAATTAGAAAAATGAAAGGCTTCTTAAACCCGTCATCTTAATGTTGAGGCGAGATTGAAGGTGGATGCGAATTCCATGGCTGCCACCACCACATCCAGCTGCTCCGGCTTCTTCACTCTGCGATCAAACTCTGGGGAATCGAGGGCCCGATCCTCCTCCTCGTCGTCGAGCCAGCCCTCTGCGGCTGGTTGCGGAAAGCTCGACGGTGTGGCCATGTGGTTCATCAATGGAGTTTCTACTGCTTTCTTCGCATCCTTGGAGCGTTGCTCCTGCATCCGCGTCGCCACCGAAGAAGACATCGAAGAATCCAACGACGTGCCGTTGATCCTCAACGATGGTAATCTCCGCCGTGACGGGGGCGGCACCGCCAGCCGCAGAAGGAATCCAGGTAAAACAAAGAAAAATGGAGGAGTACTCGCCGATGAAGACGTCTGATTATATACGTATTGCATAGTGACGATTGACGAAACAAATACACCTGAGCAAGATCAACTTCTTTTTCCATGGTGAGTCGTCATAAATATATATTGGGAATTGTCAATTGTGCCGCTGGAAGCTTATGTTTTGGAAAATGAAACTGAAGAGTAACTTTGTTCATTGTTGATTGCATGCCTTTCAATACGAGATAAATCAAGTATGGTTCATATGTATTCTAATAAAGTATATCACCTGTCTTTTTCATATGAATTATCGTTATTTCTGAAGAAACTAGTCATCAGTATATTTGTTTTGCACAGTTTAATTATGTCCAAATCTAATATTTTTTGCTCAATCAAAGGGCGTGATCAACAAGAGATCGTCCGCGATCAGCTAGAATTGTGTATATCTGATTCATGACTATATGCAGACTGCAGAAACCGAGCTTTGAATTTTAACCTATGAATATCAGCTTGTCCATCTTGAAACTAGAATGGGTTATTACTAATTCACACTTGACGATTCTGATGATAATGTGCTCGTGAAATCATAATTCAGACTAAATTTTTCGAAATCTGACGATCCATTATTACTAGCATCTTCATGTGGTTCCAGAACTGCATAGTTTCTCTGTGATTTGATTGAATTTCTGTGGTGGCAAGAAAAGAAGAAATAAAGTGGCTGTAAGAGAGTGGGAAACACATCATTACTGGGGTCACCACCGTGATCTTCTGTGAGTGATCGTTTTCAATTTGCACTACTGTTAGGAGATAATTAATTCGGAGGATTGATTCGGAAGATTATTATACTGTGCGGGTGAAAGACGTGAAGCAAAAGCTAAAGTTGATAAATTTAAAAATGAAAAAGGTCTTGCCCGTGTCCATCGGATTGAATGATGTTGTCGTTTTGGGTCATGATCATGCTGTTCACCGAACAAAGTCTCTTTTACTTTTCTTCACTTTTTCCCACCTGCTCAAGGAATCCAATGTAACCTCGCCGTGCTTCGAACTTCGAGGAATAACGACATGGCGGTGAAACGGATTCGTGTTCCCGTGTTTAATTAGGCAGAACGGGGGAAAGAATCAGAGATATAGAGACGAGGGGTTTTGTTTTAGATGCTGTTTAAACCACGAAGTTAATTAAAATACTCCAATCAATATGTGCATCGCCTTAATAAAAACTTTTTAAAATGTGCCAACCAGGGTAAAAATTAGTGGGGAAAAAATTAAAAAACATTGAAAACAAAATATATTAATATATTCAGAATATAACCAAATCAAATCTTAATATTTAAATAAGTTACTTGTTCTAGATGTTACTACCTCCAATTTTTAATATAAGAACTAATTAATTAATTTAATACTGTTTGTAATAAATATATATTATTATTTTTTAAAATACTCTTACTAATCAAGTTTCATTTAATGAAATATTTAACGTGTGCAAGATTCTCTTAAAAAAATAAATAAATATGAAAAATAAACTGAATTAAGATTTTATATTCAGGACCAAATTAAAAGTTAAACAAATTTTATATTAAGAATCTGATGTGGTGTAATATAATTTTAGTCAATATCAAAATCTTCAATAGCCTTCAATCGTGATAAGCCTTAAAAAGTTGTTTGATGCACACGCATGTTAGTGTGTTACGCACACGCAGAGTTGACTTGTGCCAGTTAACTTCAAGCTGAAGGTCAACACAGAGTTTGACTAATGAAATTTCATATTCGTTCTGTTGAATCGAACAAGTGAATTGGGAGCGTTGATTTACTAATGTCGGGTTTAAAGGTATATTTGAACTTTGTAAGACGAATACACAGATTGAATATATGAAGCACAGCATACAAAAAAAGAGGATAACATTATAGTTTAAAGGTATTGCAAATTGAGATCTTCTTTATACACACACGTGCGTGCACATGTAAATTAAAGTACTACATCCGGTCCTTAATAAAGAGTCTTGTTTGACTTTTATCTTGATCATAAATATAAGAACTCAATCCACTTTGTTTTTAATAATTTATGTTTTTTTTTTCAAGATATTCCTTCTAACAATGGTAGTTCTAACCAATATACTGATCAGTAAAGATATTTGGAAGACAACCTATTTATGACAAATAACTAACTTAACTTCTTTCTCTAATATCTTCAAATTAGTTAACCAGCTCTTATAATTACGACCGGAGGTAGTAAATGATACATAAAGTTTAAGAAATATTCATTAATACAATTGAATTTGTTTTGATGCAAAAATATATGGAATGTTATATATATCTATTTTTGTCGGTCTCTGAACTAAAATTACGCGCTATTATCTCGCATTCTATGCATTTATTTATTTTCTAGGTTGTGGGGTGGCTCTAAATTAATATCTTGATCCTAATATAAGATCTCAATTTATTTTGTTTCTAATATTTATGCATTTTTTTTTCAAGATATTTCTTCTAACAATGATAGTTCTAACCAATATACTTTATCAGTAAGGATATTTTAGAAAGACAACCTATTTATAACAAATAACTAACTTAACTTCTTTCTCTATATCTTCAATTAGTTAACTAGCTCTTATAATTATGACCGGAGGTAGTAACTGATACATAAAGTTTAAGAAATATTCATTAATACAATTGAATTTGTTTTGATGCAAAAATATATGGAATGTTTATATATCTATTTTTGTCGGTCTCTGAACTAAAATTACGCGCTATTATCTCGCATTCTATGCATTTATTTATTTTCTAGGTTGTGGGGGGGTGGCTCTAAATTAATCTGATGCATAGATGCTTGTATGCCCGAAGCTGCTCCGATGGCTGATTGGTTTAGCTTGGTTCCGTCCCTATGAAGTTGTTCCCCTTCTTGAGTGGCTGGCGTCCTCTATGATTTAATTGGACTGTGTTTATAGCTTTTCTTGATTAATTATTAATAGAAGGATACTCATGTCTAAAACAAAATATTTTTTTCCTGAAAACAATCAACTCGTTTCACACTGAACTTAACTCCTATTTCCTTGATGCCGGAACTTTCGGGTTTGGTCTAGGGTCTTCTAATTTTTTTTTTTTTGTTACAAAAATTTTAGAAAAGAGGGTTGGACTCACTTACGATCTAAGGACAGGATATCTAATGTTTGATCTATTAGAACCTGTCTTCCCTGACATAGGAGCATCATGACAAGCAAACTTTTGTTTTTTTTTTTTTTCCCAAGTTCTAATTAGGCATCTAGGATAAGTAGTCAGGATTTTTTTACCCAAATTCGAGTTTTTTTTTTGCTGTCTGTTTGGGCCAAAGCAGAAGTTGGAAAGGCGTAATGACTTGCCTGAAACGGGCCAAGTTCCTGCCTCGATTTTTCACCGAAATCGACTATTTTTTCTGTTTTGTTTGGGCCAACACCAAAAAAGGTTGAAAGGAACAAATATTTCCTGAAACGGTGCTTTTTAAGCAGCAACAAACAATTATACGCGCCGTTGCCCACGAGGGTGCTTTCACGACTTCACTGTTTCTTTTCATCAGCCTATATTGAAGTATTTCGATTCTCTAAATGAATGGTTTTTCTTGTCTTGCTCGAAAATTCGAAATACAAGCGCTGATTGATGCCATATGATGCTGCATATATTTATTTTAATTCCTTCTGTAGGATCACTTTGTAATTTGCTGTCCTAGTTCGATGATTAATTTTGTGATTTACTATTAAATTAACTTTTGGTATCATAATGGGGATCTGATTTGCTCATTATTATGCTTAAAAGGTATGAATTATTGAGCATGGTGAAGAAGCACTCTAACTTACTGGGAAAAACCATTGTTGAGGAGAGTGATGCTCCTGACGTTGAAATGGATATGAAATTTTGGCACGACGTCTTTGATTTGTATTTTATTCGTGGTAAGGAGTCAAGGGGACGGCAAGATGACGATCTCGTGTTCTTTGTCAGGAAATTGGTATGTTACGTTAAACAGTAAAAACTTGAAAATGGGATTGCCTTTTATTGTTTTCCAGTAACCGAACTGCTGGTTTCCTATCAGTGTAAGGATGTTTTGCTTCTCCTGCAAGGTTAGAGTGTTCGTTATTTCTATTCTTTATAAATGTTTCCTGCAGGGATCTCAAGGATATGCTTCCTACAATAATCCGGTGAGCGATGCTCCTTACTTTGTACGCAGGTGGGCTCCTAAGGTAAACTCACATTGAATTGTGAAGTATGTTGAAACTTCACTCACTTAAATTAGCCATGTTACTGCTAGTGAAGTTCAAACTGTTTCTAGCATTCTGTTGCAATATTTTTGCACTTCACAGATGCCTGTACACTTTTCTTTTTCTTTTTGTTTTTTGGTCACATACGCCATATTAGTATGTTAATTTTTCATCTTATTCAAATCATTACATCTCAGAAGATTTAGAAGAGAAGCATCTTGGTAAAGTCTTTATTTCCATCCTTTAGTCCTTGCACTAATACATGAAAATTGTTGCTATACCAATATGACACCGATACTTGAGTGTAACTAGAATTTATGGATATTTGGCTGTTAGACATGTTAACACTGCCCATCCTTCAAATTTTTAAAACATGGCCTGACATGTAGCTCGTATTTTGCCCCAAGCTGAATTTGGTTTGCATTTTTTTTCCCCCATCTTGTGAGCTAGGATGTAGTTAGACATCAGTTTCATGTCATCATCATGTACTTATGCTTCACTTTGCCTCTGTCCCTCCCCATTGTTGTTGGAAACTTGGAATTGTGTGGTTTTGGTTCCAATGAGAATTGGTTACATTAAGGTGATTGCTACTCATTTGCAATTGCAGTATTTACTTTGTGAATTCCATATTTGATTGCTAAATTTCTTTAGTATCAATAATTTTTTTTGTTGACATGGGATGTGGCAAGCAATTCATTGTGATGCCAAATAATCCTGTTTACTTTTTGACCAGTTGGACGACTTAATTGATGAAACTTCTACAGATGTTGACTGGAGGCGTTCATTTTACTTGAACTTAATTGCTCATACCTCCTTTAGTGTAACTATTGCAATTTGCAGGTAATGTTTTTTCCCCCGTTTTCTTGTATACCATTGTTTTCACCATGTTTTTAAGAAGCAGTGTTCTACACTCTGCCTAGAATTTATATCTACTTCATCTCTGGTCAGAATGTTACCAGGATCAGTGAGTTGTTTCATTCTATGGCCTCTTCTTGTCTGCAAGAATAGATCTCCTTTTAAACAACCTCCAGCATTCATTACAGTTTCATAGCTTTTATTTTATCGTGGATGTCATTGATGTGTACAATATTTTAGATTTTTTTCCCCCCAATTGTTGGGTTTACGTGGCTGTATACATATCAAATTAGTGCAAAAGTTGGATGCAATCTATTC